TCCCCCAGCACCCTCAGGAGATGCTGAAGTTATTGTCCTAAGCGATTCTGACGGAGAAAACGATCCAATTATCTCTTCTACATCTATTCATAGTAACAATCATGCTGATGCACCTATAGTCTCTTTTCCTGGTCGACCTAAAGGAATTTCAGATTCTTGCCATGACAACCATGCAGTTGTTAATGATGGGAATTCATGCCTGGGGCTGTTCAATGTAAACGATGATGAATTTGGGATGGATATGTGGCCTTTGCCTACTGTTAACCGGGGGGGCCCGAGCTTTCAGTTATTTGGTTCAGATACTGATGTCTCAGGTTCTTTAGTAGATATGCAGCATGGTTCTATTAACTGTCCAAGCTCTATCAACGGCTACTCATTAGCTGCTGATACTGGCGTTGGATCTTGTTCTCTTCTTCCTGAATCTTCTGTTGACCGTCTGAATGCTGAAATCAATGATGGTTTAGTTAATAATCCCCTATCATTTGGTGGTAATGATCCCTCACTTCAGATATTTCTTCCTACTAGACCATCGGATGCATCAGTTGAGGCTGATACGAGGCATCGGCCAGGTGTGAGAAATGGCGTTCATACTGAGGATTGGATTTCACTTAGTCTTGGCGCTGGTGGTGATTCTGCAGCTGCGAATGGGTTGAGCTCTGGGCAGCCGTCGCAAACCAAAAACTCTTCCTTGGACTCAGTGGCTGACGCTGGTATTTCCCTGTTTATGGATATTTTGTTGGAGATAGAAAGAGAAAGTTGAGCAATGTCAACATTCACATGTATTTGTGCCTTTACATTGCGAGCTAGTACTTATAATTGCAACAAGCATGACTATGGTATTGACCATAATTATCGGTTACTGTGATTGCTCATGTTTGGACGCATATATGTGTTGAGAACTCATACGAGGCACATATACACGCCTAAAGTAGTTTTATGGAATTCTCATGCTATTATTACTTTTTGAAGTAAAATGTTTATGTGTGAGATACTAGATGCTGTCAGAAGTATTCTTCTTCTTTGTTCATCTATTTAAAGTTATCTGAACCTGTTTACTGATGCTACTCTCTATGCAGCTTCATTGCTTCTTGGTATGAATGACGGAGTATCAATGAAGAGCAGTAAAGAAAGACCAAATGGTCCAAGCAGCAGAGAAAGATCAGATGGTCCTTTTAATTTCCCTCGCCAACGTCGTTCTGTAAGACCCAGATTGTATCTAAGCATTGATTCCGACACTGAATAAGACGCAGATTCCACAGTTGGCGGAATAATGGTTGCTTCTACTGCAGAGCATGTGGACTCTACCACATGATATATTGTTTGTAAGATCTTCTCTGCAGCGACTCGGTGAATCCATCTTTTGGACTTGGAGATGTGCATGCATCTGCCATCAGTACTCTTCTAACTCCTATGCTGGAACTTAAGAGTTTCCTTGATTGGTGAGTGCTTACCTCTCCAAATTTGTATTCTGTGATCTGGACTCTGACCAGTGCCCGGTCGTATTTTTTCTATTCCATTTTGTAGGTGATACCTTGAAAGGTTACTCACCAACGAATTGTACATTTGGATAGCTTAGCTAATTCTTAGAAGTTTTGGTATCACCAGTTGGTAAATTACCACTGGATGTACAGTAGCAATTGAGAGGAGCCTTTTTATTCATTGAGAACCTCCTCTTGCCTCATTCAAGGGGCCAATAGCCTGTAAATCCTGTTACATAGTTCGACTAATTTTATAGACTAATATTTTTTGAAATGTGTTACTCCTGTTGAGTTTTATTATTATTATTATTATTATTATTATTATTATTATTATTATTATTATTATTATGGGTGGAGGATTTTTTGACAGCCAGGTTGTGCCATAGGTGTACCAAGTGGACAGGAGGTTTGATCTCCTTCCAATTTTGGTACGATGGTAAAAATGATTTGAATTTTGTTTACTTGGAACGTAAAACAGGAGCTTCTTGACAAGCTCTGTGTTCTTCCTACCCACACATCCCTTGGGGGTGAAAATATACTTATTTAGTGTACATCTTCTGTATTTATTTTCAAGGATAGATTAGTCCTATTTATGTATGTGTTGATCACTTAAATACCTCACTGTAGTTATTCTTGTAATTATTAAGCTTATTATTATTTAAGGATATCTGCCAAGATTCTATCCAATTTATAAAGCCAAACCATGTCACATTCAACGATACTTAATTTTCGCAAGTGTGTGTTTTTTTTTTTGAAAAATATTGAGAAATAACTGTTCTTGAACACACACGTAATCATATTTTCACAAGTTAAATTAATACCTTTATATTTTTAAATAAACAAATAAATAATCAAAAGCTGAGGATATAATCAATTTTAGGCTCTAGTGCAAAATTTCGAGTCTTTCCTTCAGTACTCTATTAATTAAAAATTATATTCTCTTTCTCCTTCAATCACTGACTACGACTAACGACGTCGACACCTATTTTTGATTGATTTTAATGGACTATGGTTACTTGTACTGGTTCTTCTGAGATCTCATGAATTTCACGAGCAGTGAACTCAGCTACAGTTGGCACTCTATTGTGTGAGGAGAATTCTATTTCTGGTAACTGATCCGTGGTAACTCTGTTGTTTGTTGACAACTTTGCACCTGCCCCCTCCTGCTGCTGCAGCCTCTTCTTTTCCTTCTTATTTTTCACTTGTGCGTGCCATTGCTTTATGTCTTGCATTATGTGTTCTTCCAACAATGCTCTTTTGAAATGTGAACCCATCTAAAAGAACGTTATTGGATGTAGTATTACTGTTGGTACAAAATAAGAAATCATTATAAATATTTGTCTGAGATGGAAACAACGTTATTGGATGACTAACCTGAGTAACGAGGGCATAGAGAGGCAAAATAATGTAGCTACAAAGTACTTGAACCATCACCCTGCACGGCCCATACAATGCAATAAATCATTTTATTTTGACAAGATGTCATCTTTGAATACAATAATGTTACTCCTTTCGTTCCAATTTATATGCCGTAATTTCTTTTTCAGTCTGCCTAAAAAAGAATGATATATATATATATATATATATATATATTTTGTTATTTAAAAATAATTTTAGTTATAAACTTCTCATTTTACCTTTAATGAAATAATTTATAATCACATAAATTGATGTGTTTGTTTTACCACAAATTTTAAAAGTTCGTAACTAATCAATGATAATAGGTGAATTTAACTATATTCAGGCCCTAAATAACCGCCTTCTTGCATAGTTTTGATAATAAAAGTGATAACAAAATGCTCTTATTAGTGCTTTTCATGACTTGCAGGTTATATATGACTAGGGAAGGCTAGGGAGTACTTTTGGAGTCAAAAATTGAAGAAAGAGAGGCCATCTGTGAAATATCCCAAGTGAACCACGCAAAAACAGGCTGAAGAATCAGAGAAATGATTCTGCCGTGGTTCCACCGCGACCGCGGCAGAACCGCGGTGAAGACTGCTCGCGGACAGAAGGAGATTCAAAGGAGCTGTTTGGCCGCGGTTCCACCGCGACCGCGGCAGGCGCGAGAAAGTTTAGGGACTAAAGTGCAAAACACGGGTTTTTTTAGCCCAAAACCCTATTTTAAACACTAGACTTCGCCCAAGAGAGGCATGTATTGATTTTTAGAGTTTCTTAGGAAAAAAAACCATTGTGAGAGATCACCCAAAACATCTTTCTTCTTTTCTTTGATTTTTATTGCTAGTTTATGATGAATCTTATCTTAGTTTGTTTACCCATAGTTATGAGTAGCTAAATCCTCTGTCTAAGGTTTTGATGGAAACTATTGGGGGATGAACTTCTTGTTTATGTGAATACAAATTGCTAGTTTCAATCTTTATTTGTTCAACTATGTTCTTGTTGTAGTTAATTGACAGGATCCTCAATTAGCTGTGCCTATTTAGTGTGCATAACTCGGGAGAGAGTGCACATTTAGGTTATTGTTGAACAACACTACTCCCAAAGTATAAGAGGGATCTATAACTGTGGGTTTAAATGCGGGCTTAGGGATAACGAAACCTTGAGTGCAATCTAAGGTGAATTGCGTTAATTAAAGCTAGCTAGTGTATCTTGGGAGAGTGCATTGAGTATATTACTGTGATTACTCGGGAGAGATTTGCGGTAAGCTGAGCGTTCACGATTGATAGAGGTGTGTTGGTAAATTTGTATGAAGCATAAACAGAAGAGATTCCATCATTAGGGGAAGTCATTACCTTAGCATTTTCTCATTATTGTTTACAACCTTAGCATTTTAGTTTACAGCTTGTTATTTACTTGCAATCTTAGTTAGTAAAGAAACCATCAACGGTGATTCAAACGTCTGGGGAAGTTGGTTCTCAAGAGTTTAGTAGTTCTAAAGATTGTGATTGATAGGTTAATTCTCTGTGGATTCGACTCTGGGCAGAATACTCAGGTTATATTTACAACGTCCGCATTGTCCTTTTTATAAGGCATAGTTGGACGTGATCAAATTTTGGCGCCGTTGCCGGGGAATTAACGGAATTATCAATTACCATTTATAGAAATACAAAGATTTGATTGAAAATTTTGACGGTTGTTGACGTGGTTGCACAGGTATATGCCTAGAAACTCTACGAGGTCTGGAGAAGTACTTGAAGGACTCTCAAACCCAGAGAAAACATTCCAGATATTGAACCGTGCCAACAAAAGACTTCAACAACCTCATCAAACACACAACCTCGAAATTGACATGGGTGACGTAGACAACGTCAACGGAAACGTCAGAGATAGGGCACCTCCTATGCCTGAGGCTGCACTATATGACTGGGCACAACCCACAACTGACAATCTGGCCACTGCCATTATTGTGCCCACGATACGAACTGAATCGTTCCAGATCACGAACAACATGCTGCACTTGCTGCAAAACAAGGGATTATTTTTTGGGACACTAGCCGAAGATCCTCAGCAGCACTTGAAGAACTTCCTATCGATTTGCAAAACTCAAAGGCAACCCAACGTAACTCCAGAAGCAATCAGACTGTTATTATTTCCATTCTCGGTGACAGGAGCTGTTTAGGTCAGGCTAAACTCACTCCCCATAAACTTTATAGAAACTTGGGATGAGTTAGTCAAGAAATTCACATCAAGTTCCACCCGCCAAACAAAACAGCTTAACAAATTGATGAGATCGTGAGCTTTAAACAGAAACCAATGGAGACACTGCATGAGACATGGAGCCGGTTTAAAGGAATGTTGGTTATATGTCCACACCATGGTATTCCAGATCAGATGTTGGGACAACGGTTTTACATGGGACTGTCAGATAGCATGAAGAACATTGTAGATGCCTCAGCTGGTGGGGCGTTTTTGAGCAAAACTTGGAGAGAAGGTCAGAGTGTGCTTGACAAAATGGCTCAAAATTCGGGGTGGACGACGAGGAATGCACATATCACTCCAGTGGTACACTCAGTGCCTTTTGACCCATCAAATTCCATGGCTGAAAATGTGGTGACCCTTTTGATACAGATGAGCATACTCACCAAAAAGGTGGAGGAATCGGGGCAGAAACAGCAAGTGCACATTGTAGATACCACAAATGGGGGCTTGTGCACATCTTGCATTAGTCAGCCAATTGGTAATCCGTGGAATGCTGAACATGATCATCATCATCAGCACCCTGAAGACATGAACTATGTGTCAAACTATGGAGGCCAGAGACAGGGCAATCAGAACTGGGGTCAGCAAACTCAGTAGCCATACAGACCACCTCAGCCACAGTACAACGCTGAAAACATGGGAGGTATGAGACCCCCCAACAATATGGCACCTTATCCAAGGTCACATGGGTACAACAGTCAACAACAAGGGTATCTCCCACCTCAGCAACAACATGGTGGAAGGCAAGAAGATGGGTTCACAAGACTTGAAGCAATGATGCAGCAGGTGATTGGGTCCAATGCAAAAATAAATGAAAGAGTAGATGCACATGACGCAGCAATCAAAAATATTGAAGTGCAATTGGGCCAAATTTCAATGTCTCTGAACAATCGTCCTCAGGGGACATTACCTGCAGATACCCAAATCAATCCTAAAGATCAGGGCCCGAAGCAGCTGATGGCGGTGAGTCTCCGTAATGGCAGGGATCTTGATGTAGAGCAGGAGAGAGCTCGTGACAATATACAGGCTGAGACACTCATTCAGGTACCCATTGAGCTAGATGATTCCACAAGGCTGACAGATGTGACAATCCAGCCTGCTCAGGAAGAAAAGAATACTCAGCAGGAGACCGAGAAAGTTGCTGAAGCAGTTGAAGAGCCGGTAGTAGAGATAGTAGCTGAGAAAGAAAAGTCCCAAGAGATTGGGAAGAAAAGACCTCCTGCTCCATTTCCACAGAGGTTGGCCAAGCATCAAAAGGAGGAGCAGTACAAAAAGTTCTTTGAGATGCTCAAGCAAATTCAGGTTAATATTCCATTGATTGAAGCTTTAAAGGAGATACTTGGATACGCAAAAATGATGAAAGATTTAATGTCCCGGAAGTTTGACTTCCAAGACTTGGCCACGGTGACACTTACTCAGACGTGCAGAGCAGTGGTAACTAGACCTGTTGCTGAAAAGCTCTCTGATCCAGGGAGTTTTACTATTCCATGTACTATTGGAAACTTTGCTTTTGCGAAAGCACTCTGTGATTTAGGGGCCAACATTAATCTTATGCCCCTGGTCATTTACAAAAGGTTCGGCATTGGGAGAGCTAGACCCACCTCTATGTTGTTGCAGCTGGCTGACAGGACTGTGAAGCGTCCATTTGGGATCCTTGATGATGTACTTATTCAGGTGGGGAAATTCGTGTTCCCTGCAAATTTTGTGATATTGGATTGAAAAGTTGATGAAGAAATTCCTATCATCTTAGGAAGACCATTCTTGGCCACAGGGAGAGCTCTTATTGATTGTGAGACCGGGGAACTTAAGATGAGGCTCAATGACGAAGAGATTATATTCAATGTGCAGAAATCTATGAGGCGACCAAGTGAGTTTGCCAATTGCTCTCTTATTGATGATGTGGATGTAATCGTACAGTCTGATGATGAAGTGTTGACAGTTGAGGATCCCCTCGCTNCAATCTCAACGAGAACCATCATAGGCTGGAGAATTTGCATGGATCATCGAAAGTTGAATCTAGCCACCCGGAAAGACCACTTCCCACTTCCCTTCATCGATCAGATGCTGGATAGATTGGCAGGGAGGTCACACTTTTGATGTAATAGCAAAGCTGCCTCCACCAACTTTGGTCAAAGCAATCCGAAGTTTTCTTGGACATGCCGGTTTCTACCGGCGGTTCATAAAAGACTTCTCCAAAATCACCAAACCTCTCTGTAAGTTATTAGAGAAAGATCACCCGTTTGTATTTTCTGATGATTGCAGGGTAGCGTTTGAGGAGTTGAAGAAGAGGCTGGTCACATCACCCATCATTGTTACTACGCAAATTGATATGTGACGCTAGTGACTACGCAGTGGGGGCAGTGCTGGGCCAGTGGAAGGACAAATTGATGCACCCAATCTACTATGCCAGCAGAACGCTGAGTGGAGCCCAGTTGAACTATACGGTGACTGAAAAGGAGATGCTAGCTGTGGTGTTCGCATTCGACAAGTTCCAATCCTACCTGATAGGATCAAAGGTAATCGTTTACACTGACCATGCCGTTTTCAGGTACTTAATAGAAAAGAAAGACTCTAAGCCACGCCTGATTCGTTGGGTGTTGCTACTACAAGAGTTCGATCTTGAAATATGTGACCGCAAGGGCACTGAGAATCAGGTCACTGATCACCTATCACGACTTGAGGGAGCTGAAAATGCAATTGAAGTTGAGAAAATTCTGGAAACTTTTCCGGACGAGCAACTGCTCGCCACCACTCATCAGGATGCGCCATGGTATGCAGACTTGGCCAATTACCTGGCGAGTGGTATAGTTCCTCACGACCTTTCATCGGTCTAGAGGAAACGATTTTTTCGTGAAAGCCGCTTGTACTATTGGGATGAGCCCTATCTCTTTCGAATATGCCTGGATAACATGAACCGGAGATGCGTCTACGAGATAGAACAATCTTCTATTTTGTAGGCTTGTCATGCATCGACTTATGGTGGACACTTTGGAGGGATCAAGACAACAGCAAAGGTGCTAAAAGCCGGATTTTTCTGGCCGACTGTGTTTAAAGATGCTCACTCATGGGTGAAGGGTTGTAATGAATATCAACGCACATTCCCGGTGCCACGAGATGCCCATGAACCCAATTCAGGAGATAGAAGTGTTCGACGTCTGGGGGATTGATTTCATGGGTCCCTTCGTCAGCTCCTATGGCAATAAATACATCCTTGTTGCTATAGACTATGTGTCCAAGTGGGTGGAAGCTGTAGCGTTGCCCACCAATGATGCGAGAGTGGTGGTGGGGTTTCTAAAGAAGAATATATTCACCCGCTTTGGGACACCACATGCGATTATCAGCGACGGAGGCACTCACTTCTGCAATAGAGCCTTCGAGAATTGACTTTTAAAATACGATGTGCGCCACAAGGTGGATACTCCATACCATCGGCAGACTAGTGGACAGGTTGAGGTATCCAACAGGGAAATCAAGAGTGTGTTAACGAAAACTGTGAACGCCACAAGAACTGATTGGGCAAGGAAGCTAGATGATGCACTCTGGGCCTACAGAACAGCTTTCAAGACACCAATTGGTATGTCACCATACAAGTTAGTGTTTGGGAAGGCCTGTCACCTACCTGTAGAACTCGAGCATAAAGCGTGGTGGGCACTGAAACAACTAAACTTAGAAATGGAAGCTGCGGGCACGTCAAGAGTCACATAATTGCATGAGCTCGAGGAGTTCAGGTATCTTGCTTTTGAGAGCATAAGGCTGTACAAAGAGAGAATGAAGAGGCTACACGATCAGAACATTGTTGAGTGAAATTTCAAACCTGGGGACATGGTATTGCTATACAACTCAAGACTAAGGTTGTTCCTGGGTAAGCTGAAGTCACGATGGTCTGGACCGTTTCGAGTAGTGGAAGTTTTCTAGTCAGGAGCGATTGACGTTGCCACTGAGAATGACTCTCGTACATTTAGAGTCAATGGTCAGAAATTGAAGTTGTATGTGGGTATGAGCGAGCCCAAGGAAGGGTCTGGACTGCAGTTGACTGAACCACGGAGGTCGAACGAGCCTTAACTGGACTCATCTGGGTTGTGCCGCGACGTTAAATCAGGCGCTGCATGGGAAGCAACCCATGAAATTGTTGTAAGTGTAACACTTCTTAAAAAAAAGCGTCAAAATCAGAGATGGGCTCAGGCCGCGGTTCTACCGCGACCGCGGTCAAACCGCGGTCTTGACCCTTCTCTGAACCCAGGCCATCGCGGTTGCATTGCGACCGCGGTCAAGACGGCCATCTGAACTTGGCCTACCGCGACCGCGACAGAACCACAGCAGACGTAGACGGGGTCCAGGTAAGTTTTTTTTTNTAACTTTCCACCTTCACCACCCATTTTCCCTCAACCAAACAAGTAAGTTTCTCTCTCTCTCTCTATTTCCTCTTCTAACTTAGTGTAAATATGGTCTAAACTTATTTTAGTTAAACCCTAGGTAGGAATAGTGTAGATTTCCTTTCAATATTTGCTTCTTCTCTTTTTTTATTGTTGTATTTGCTTCTTGTGGATTTATTTGGTGCTAAAATGGTTGGGTCTTTCTTCTACTTCAATTGTGGGGGTTGTTTAGATGTTTTGGAGGCCTGGAAATAATTTTTGCGGTGTAGCTTGGTGGTGGGACCTTTTTGGCTGGAAATTTGGGGCTTGTGGTGCTATTTTGAGGCATTTTGT